TATGCGTAAAAAATACATTAAATCATTAAAAAAAAACATTACACACACTACCATGCATTGGACACACACACGCAGATATACTCTTTTGTTTATTGATAAAATCTGTGATCAAATTGAGAATAGATTAACTAATATTGTTTGAATTTAATAATATTTGTCTATAGTGTGGCCTTGGTGAAATCTGTGAATAGAGAAGTAAAATCTTTGACAATATAACAATGTTCTAAATTATAATTTAAACTAGCTGACCCTTCAAACTTCGTAGTGCCCCAATCGATAAATAAAAGACCTAAACTTTTGTATAAAATAAACTTAAAACAAACAAAAGGAATCCTTCCGACGGGGGACACATCAAAGGAAAAACAAAATTGTTATTTTGATTTAATTCCGAGCATTTTTATATTTATCTACCTTTTAAACCTTCCCTGGACTTCCAATAAATAATTCAAGACCAAAATTAGCCAAATCGGTCCAGCCGTTCTCGAGTTTTAGTGAGACTAACGAACAGCAATTCATTTTTATATATAGAGATTAATAATTATAATCGAATTTCGATTACTGGACGACCACTAGTAATAATTAAAGATTATTACCAAATTATGACCACGAAAACTATTATTTATTCAAAGCTTAAATTTCCCAAAAAATTATTAAAATAACTTCTTGGCTTCAAATATCATCAGCCCTCTCCTATTCATGTGTGACTTTTTTATTAAGCAGCAGACGGGCCAATGAGCTCACGGTCCATTTGGTGTTAAGTGTTTACCGGAACCTATAGATGACACCACGTAAATTCCGTCACCCATTTTGAGGCTAGTCCTATGACTCAATACTTAGGTATGTTATTACGCAGATTACAATCATTGCGGGTTTGATTTTTATTACACGATGTTATTCTTTCACCGTGGAAGTCACTCGTGACCATTAGTCAAGTACGTATTTCATTAGAAAAATTGGTACCCGCCTGAGGTTCGAACACCGTTGCATCGCTCGATACGTATGCACCGGACGTCTTATCCTTTAAGCCAAGAGTGAGCAAGCAATCTTTTTAATCAATGGGTCAATTTAAATTTAATTTTTGACTCTTAATAATAATTTACGAAACATTATTTCTTTATTAAAAACAAACACGAAAAGAACAGAAAAACGAATTAATGTGAGAAAGACGATAAAATAAATTCAATTTTAGAAATGCTTGCCGTCCGCGTGCTATGAGCAAGGATGAGTCCTTGCATTATGACTTCCGTCTTGGTACGAAACTAATTCCCTGACGAACGGGCAATAGGTAACTTTAGCTTTAATTTCAAACAACAGTCATGTCCAACAAACCTATACTAATATATAAATCTACAGTGGTTTTTACGGATGTTCCGTTATAACTACTGAACCATGAATCCGATTGACTTGAATCTTCGTATCCATGTAGAAAATACATGTACTTACTTAATGGATAGGCTAATATTTATATGAGTGTTGGACTCCCTAATAATAATAATGACAATAAATAATAATGTTCATTTTAAATGCCCAGCGAAGCGGGCGAGTACGACTTGTAATCTATAATCTATATAATATATAAAAATGAATTGCTGTTCGTTAGTCTCGCTAAAACTCGAGAACGGCTGGACCGATTTGGCTAATTTTGGTCTTGAATGTTATTTGTGGAAGTCCAGAGAAGGTTTAAAACGTAGATAAATACGAAAATTCTCGGAATTAAATAAAATTAAAAATTTTGTTTTACCTTTGATGTCTCCGTCGTCGGACGGATTCCTTTTGTTTATTTTAAGTTTATTTTATACAAAAGTTCTTTTATTTGTCGATTACGAAGTCTGCCGGGTCAGCTAGTAAATAAATAAAATTGAAGTGTCTATTTGTAATATTGAAATAACCGCTTTTTACTACATACATGCTTAAAAATATGAAATATATACGGTACATACACCAAAATAACATTTTTTACAATTTTTGTCTGTCTGTTTGTTCCGGCTAATCTCTGGAACGGCTGGACTGATTTTGACGGGACTTTCACTGATAGGTAGCTAATGATATAAGAAGTAACTTAGGCTACTTATTTTAGACTAGCTTCGCCCCGCGGCGTCACCCGCAGTACGACAATAACCGCGGGTAACATCGCGGGACTCAGCTAGTCATTACTATACCTATACACCATAAAGTCGTTTGTGCAATACAAAAATTCCATTAATGTTTCCATTAAAAAGTCAATATAAATTGGATAACATTAAATCCCGATGTATTACCGTGAAATTGTGTTCACGTATCAACAACGTTTTTACATTTTATTTACACGATATGAATTGGGAAAATCGCTTGCTTTTGATAACAGGGAAAATTTATTTGTTTTTTGAACGAAGTTTCCAGAAAATTCTATGTTTGTATTTTATGTATTATCCACTAAGGGCACACATCGAACTCCTATGTGTTTTAGCAGTTAAATAGTCGGGAGTTCTAGTTTGAAGGCTGGGGCGACCGCTGTAAAAACTTAGAACTCATGTCTTAACGTGGGTAGCGATATCAGCGTCCTTGGTATATCTATGGGCTTTATTAACAACTTTTTGTTTATTTATTTTTATTGTTTAGAGTAAACTGTGGATGGAAAAGGTCAAAGACAGAGATTATTGGGCATCTCTGGAGGAGGCCTTTACCCTCAAACAGAGGGGTTCACGCTCTTTTTAACTAAAAACAAATTTACTCAAAGTCAAAGTTAGTTGAATAAAAATAATAAAACAGTAATAATAAAAAAAAACAAATTATGTAAAAATGTATTAGTTTTTTTATGGGTGAAATAAAAGGCTTTTTTATTTTCTATTTTTTTTATTTATTGCATAGATGGGTAGACGAGCTCACAGCCCACCTCCTGTTAAGTGGTTAGCAGAGCCCATAGACATCTACAACGTAAAGGCCGCCACCCACCTTGAGATATGAGTTCTAAGGTCTCAGTATAGTTACAACGCCTGCCCCGCCCTTCAAACCGAAACGCATTGCTTCACGGCAGAAATAGGTACGGTGGTGGTACCTACCCTTGCGGACTCACAAGAGGTCCTACCACCAGTAAAATCAAATTATAAATCGAATTATAAACATATTAAATATACCTACTAGATCAAAATATTATATTATTTTCGTTTTTTATTTTATTCGCTTTTTACGACACGATACTAATGTTTCATTGTGAAAATGAATGTTTCTTGGTATATAGTCGACCGTGTATTTGTACCTATCATCCGCCGAGTTGTATACAAGTGGTGTCGTTAAGTAGCTAAACCAGTCATTACGAAGCGATACGCTAAGTGAAGCTCTCGACAGGGCTCAAGCAAACACGGCGTGATTTATTTTAAAAACGTCCGTTAAAATATTTATTACCTTTAAATATAAGTTCGAGGGTTATGTGCGAGAAAATAAAGGTGGTGGTCATTTTAAGTGTGTTGTTAATGGATGTTGCGAGTTGGTTAAGTTTCGTTTCTTTGTTGGTTCAAAAGCGAGGTGCGTGACTGTTGTTTTTGTTGCTATGACAACGGCTTTGTCATTTTAATGATGAAACTCAATCATTTCGCGCCGCATCGCGCTTGCTTAAGTGTTGCGCGAAACTGCAATGTATACGAATGATTTGTTGTTAAATGAATGTGATATAAGCGACAGAATAAAGGAACGATATTACTTCTTATTCTCAATCATTCTTGATAGATTGTAATCGTCATGTAGGGTTGGAGTGGAAAAACTGTTCTCTCTAAAATCAATTAAACTATTTTTACATTTTAATCTAGAGCGGTGTTTCTCAAAGTGAGGCCCACGCCCCACAAGGGGACAATTTGATAATTAAGGGGGGCAATCGCACTAAATTAATACAGAAAATCGGTATTAAAATTTAACTACTAAAACATATCATTTGCGTTTCTTAAGTGAACAAATAAATTTTTTAATGTTTTAAATTATGGGGAGCATACAAATTTTAGGAATGTTACAATAGGGCATGGCACAAAAACGGTTGGGAAACACTGATCTAGAGGTTTGTGTCGGTCAGTTGTCTGTGACCACGAAAAATGTAAAGTATTTAAGATTAAACCGAAAAGTAACCCTAATTACGTCTGCGACTAGCGAAAATCGAATTAAATACAATCTATTGTCGTAGTTTTTTTGGCAATGGTAAATACAAGTAAAACTGATAAAACGGAGTGAATAAAAAATTATTATTTTTTTTTCTACAAATTCGATACATCGTTCGCGCCATTACACAGCTGACGGATCGTTTCACAAAATGGCTGACGGATTTCGGGCGGGAAACACGCGCTTTGTGTGCGCAGCTCCAAAAATGTTTCCACAAAAGGAATTTCCTCTGAAATATGGATGAGGGGGGAGTTATGAATAGTTTTTATTGGCTCCTTCCTTCAACCCTTTATTGTGCGTTGATGTTCCGTGAAATAACAATAAAAGATGACTTAGTACTGTTTTTTTTTGTGTTAGCAAGTACGTTTATGTATCAATAATGCGCTTCTTCGATTGTCATTTAGATTTACAAAAGTCGAAATAAAAATATCTGTGCAATTTGTTCACAGATTATATATAGTCCAAGTATACTTTTTATTGGAGGTTAAAATACTTCTATACTAATATTATAAAGAGGAAAGATTTGTTTGTTTGTTTGTTTGTTTCGAATAGGCTCCGAAACTACTGGACCGATTTGAAAAATTCTTTTTACATTAGAAGCCGACATTGTCCCTGATGAACATAGGCTACTTTTTTAATTTTTTTTTAATTTTTTTTTTTGGTTTCATGTGTGTTTTAATATTTCCGAAGCGAAGCGAGGGCGGGTCGCTAGTTTTAAATAAAACGATGTAGATAAATTTCGTTTATTGTTATCACGTCTGGCATTGTTTTTTCTTAATATAAATGTGGCAAAGAAATATCGATAGATTTAAATTCCTTTTTTTTTTTCTATTGATCTCTATCAAAGATAATCTTTCATACTGCTCTCTTGTTTGCAGGTAAAAGTCTGGTTCCAAAACAGAAGAACGAAGCACAAACGTATGCAGCAAGAGGAAGAAGCAAAGAGTGGCAAGTCCGGTTCTTCCTCTAAACCCGAAGACGGAAGCCAACTGAATAACTCCTACGAGGAAGACGAGGAGCTCATCGACATGGACATGGACGAACTAAGTGAGAGTGAGAATGAGACGTAGGAGTGCAGTGATATTGTAAATAGAACTAGAATTTAGTATTTATTTTTAGCGTCTTAAATCCAATCGGTGGATAGTTTAAGAGGTTCCCTTTGCTCAAATTATGAGCTGTTAAAAAATACACGTAAATTTTTTTTCGTAGGTATTCAATTGTAAGTAAGTTCTAATATCTTCCGTTTCTTTGTTTTTAACAGTTTTAGAACGTTCCTTTTCATTCCTAATAATTAATTACATCTATTTTTGAACTGAAGTAGGTTAACATGATATTGTGTTTTCAATTTCACAATAATTTGTTTCTTTGGAAACTGTAAGCAACGGCTTGGCAGTGTCACTGGTATTGCTAAAGGTGACCATTCATGTAGATCGTATGCTCTTTTTACAAAGGAAATTAAGAAAAAAAATCACATCACAATATATTATCTGTGAAAATACAAATTGAAAATTTTGACTTAAATGAGATTTCAAAACATGATTGTTCTTTTAAGTAAGAAAGTATTTCCTATGAATGGCTTGCTTCTACCGTTACTCACGCTTATTATAAATATTTAGTCCTTTAATCGATCTCCCAGGATCACTTCAGTAATTCACTAATTAACTTATTAAATGTAATAATCTCAAAACTCCAAAGTGAAGCTAAATAAAAATACTTAAAATTTTACTGTAGTTCATTTCAAAACGAGCTCCCCAAAAACCACCAGAAACTAATTGGAATCGCTTTTACAACCTCAAATAAAGCCAGGGCAGTAAATAAAAATTAAAAAAAAAAGTCGATAATTTATCTAAATTTAAAAACGACTAAACATTAACAGCATTCAAAATGGCGCCTGGTTCCTCGTTAGCGCTTCACGGTTTATTAGATAACGAAATTGCCTTTATTATAATAGTTTTGAGGTTAAATTAATTAAAAATTATTCTTTTTCGACCATCCCCTCGGGCGATGGAGCTATAATTAGACATTTTAGATTTGAAATACCGATACGCAGCGAGGTTTTCAAGCGGGCTGTCAAATAGAACGGAACGCGTATATACAGCGGTGCGTTGTCAGAGCGAGAAAGGTATGTCGGAGGCCTGTTATTAAGAGATGAATTCAAAAAGGTATCTCCGGTTAGAATCGCGTCGGGTAATTGCCGTGGACGTAACCAAATTGTTTTAATACGGACGATTGTTCTTTAAGACTATTTGTCTACGAGTTTGTGGTGTTTTAGATAAGGATCTTGAATTTCAATGCTTTCTTTGAAGCGCTCGATACCATTGTTATTTTTTTTTTGACACTGGTAATGCGTGACTTTTTTGTTGTGGCAACATTCGTTTGTTGATATTTGTGAACAAGTCAAACTCGTCACATAAATTTTAAAAGGCATCAATAACGACATTATGTAATTAAGATAAGAAAACGATCTAATTTTTAAAATTTCGGTTAATTTAGTTACTCCCCCAGTCATTGACAATGACAATAAATTATCAATAGACTGCCACATGTTTGCTTTAGTGGATATATTCCGAGGCATAACAGATATATACCTCTTGTCTAATTACAAAAAAAAAGCAACGTATTCCGACCACAACACATTAAAAGCAGACTCCTTTGATTCATGCCAATTAAACACAAAAGCTCTGGAAACAAAACAAAGCCTAAAGCTCCGAGCAGCTTAAGGGCATAAAACGCCCGTGTAATGAGGTCAATTATATGTTGTTTTTTTTTACGACTCAAACAATGGTTTACCTCATAATGGGACACAGAACATAACCAAATGACACGGTGAGCGCAAACATAAATTAAATGATTAATGGCGTATATAATTAAAAAGTTGAATCGTGTAATAGGAAATGCTTTGTTAATCTTTTATGGCTGACGATAGCGAACCCAAAGTGCAATGTACAGAATACATCAATAACATTGTTATTTTGTACAGGCAAGGAATAAACTAGGAAGATATTGATTGCTTCGCTACTCTGACAAGTGGTCTAACTTGAGGACTTGCTAACATTAACGCACAGATACAGCCCACTGAGTTTCTCATCGGATCTTCTCAGTGAGTCGCGTTTCCGATCCGGTGGTAGATTCTGCGGATCTGCTAGGGTCAGTGTTAGCATCACTCCGGTTTGAGCCCCATGAACTCACCTACACACGTTAGGGTGAAGCTGAAATAGCCTCTCAAGGCTCTTCGAGGTGGGTGGCGCATTTACGTTGTAGATGTCTATGGGCTCCAGTAACCACTTAACACCAGGTGGGCTGTGAGCTCGTCCATCCATCTAAGCAATAAAAAAAAATTAAAAAAAGTCTATCAGCATAGGTAGTAAAAAAAAATCTTTGTAAGACGGCTCACAACAAATAACGTGGTTTATTTACGCTAAAGAAGGATAGGAGATAAACATATCTCTACTATGCTCTCCATTATCCATCCCCCATATTCGGCCCCATTTCGCGTTGAAGGTCCGTTGTCATTGGTTATTTAAACTGCGGAAGAGGTATTTGTTGTTCAGATTGAGCGTAATTTGGAGATTTTGCAAACAAAAAATGTTTCAGGAGATCTGTTGGATTGGCCCGTCGAGGTTTTTTTTTTTTATTGCTTACATGGTTGGACGAGCTCACAGCCCACCTGATGTTAAGTGGTTACTGGAGCCCATAGACATCTACAACGTAAATGCGCCACCCACCTTGAGATATAAGTTGTAAGGTCTCAGTATAGTTACAACGGCTACCCCACCCTTCGAACCGGTACCTACCCGCGCGGACTCACAACAGGTCCTACCACCAGTAATTACGCAAATTATAATTTTGCGGGTTTCACTTTTATTACACGATGTTATTCCTTCACCGTGGAAGTCAATCGTGAACATTTGTTGAGTACTTATTTCATTAGAAAAATTGGTACCCGCCTGCGGGATTCGAACACCGGTGCATCGCTTCAACACGAATGCACCGAACGTCTTATCTTTTAGGCCACGACGACTTCTAATGCACCGAACGTCTTATCTTTTAGGCCACGACGACTTCTAGGTTTTTAGAGCAGCTCCTATTTCTTATTAAGCATTCGATAAGTTCGAAAAGATTTAGCAACTATCAATCTTTATAACACTCTGATCGAGTGTACGGATAGAGCCAATTTCCATTTTGAACTAAAGTTAGCTGATTAAAAACGCTTTTACAGTTTTAATATCGTGTTTTTTACAGTCGTTTACTGTCGGATGAAAGGCGATTGCATGCAGCAGAGATGCGAATCTTGCGACGGATGTGTGGGGTAACGAGAATGGATAGAAAACGGAATGAATATGTTAGAGGAAGTCTGAAAGTGGCACCTGTGACAGAGAAGCTGAGAAGTGCGCGTTTGGGATGGTACGGACATGTGGTGAGACGAAGTGACAATGAAGTTGGTAAAAGAATGTTAACTATGAATGTTGAAGGATATAGAGGAAGAGGTAGACCTAAGAAGAAATGGATGGACTGTGTGAAAGACGATATGGGTAAGAGGGGAGTGAAGGAAGAAATGGTATATGATAGAAGAGTATGGAAGGAGAAAACATGTTTCGCCGACCCCAGGTGACTGGGAGAAGGGCAGGATAATTATGATGAATGATTTTTTACTGTCGTCATATTGTTTCCCATGTTTGGAATACTTTACAGTTTTCCTAGTCACGTTCGGTCGTCTGTGAAATTGTAAAGTTTTATTTTAAAACTTAAAAAAAAAAACGCGCAAGCTTAATCCGATTTTTTATGGGAATTTTGGGGGCAGCATATTTACTAATTTATCGTTCTTTTATTCGATTAGCTTTCTGTAAAGTGATCATTGATAAAGGCTATTGTGATAATGATAACGCTACAAGAAAATCTTTAGAATTACCATTAAAATGAATATCGTTGTCATAATATCTTTTCATCGACGTCAATTAAAATTTTTGGCATGGACGGAGAGTTCTATAGTACTAACTAACAAAGTCTTAAATACGACATTTGATAGCAGTAACACTGAATTTATTCACAGCGACTTATGTTGTGAGCTGCACGAATTTTTAGCGCTAGATTTTCAAAGTTCATATTTTTTTTTATTGCTTAGATGGTGTTACCTGGTATTAAGTGGTTACTGGAGCCCATAGACATCTACAACGTAAATGCGCCACCCACCTTGAGACATAAGCTCTAAGGTCTCAATATCAATATACTCAAAGTATCAATATCTTATTTTATACCTTTAAACGAGCAATTCTTGTATACAGTCAAACCTGGGTAAGTGAGAACTGGATAAGTAAGAAAACTTTATAAGTGAGAGTAATAGCAAGGACCCGTCATTTTAAGCTCCCAAAACCTCTATGAGCGAGAAACAGAAACCTCTGTAAGAGAGAGTCGTTTTTTCCTCATGGACCTCCGTAAGTGAGACTGCTACCTATCTATATCTCTATAAGCGACAGCCGAGCTTTATTTATTTATTTATATTATTTAGGAGGAACAAATGACAAAACAAATTACAAATTTAACATCTGCTATTTTATGACTCATTTTTAACTTTCGTGGAACTTCCTATCATTGTTTTTGTATTGTTTTCTCGTGAATATTGAACCTATTCTATTTCGTGGAACTAAATAACGTTGTTATTTTATCGTATTCTTTTATCGCATTATTTTCGAATGGACACGTGTGCCTGTGTACCGTCCTGTTTGTCGGACTTACTCAGTTTATCGTTAATCAATTGCGAAGGAAAGTTCTGTTCTGCATCATGTAAAAACGGAAAATTAAAGTACTGTCATTAAAGCCATAAACTTAAAATAGTGAATGCATTTGAATGCGGAAAATCGCGAATCGAAATTCAGAGGGAGCATTAGCGAGAAACTCGGGTTAGTGAGAAACCTCTATAAGCGAGAATGAGATTGTGCTCCCTTGAACTCTCGCTTATCCAGGTTTGACTGTATATATATATATATAATCTGAATCTCGGAAACGGCTCCAACGATTTTCATAACATTTAGTATATAGGGGATTTCGGGGGCGATAAATCGATCTAGCTACGATTTATTTTCAGAAAATGTTGTTCTATTCGTGTTTTCAATAATCAATAATCAACTCTTCCCGACATCTATTAGCGAATAATAATACTATTTTTCTTAATTGAGGCCAACTAACCGCTTTAAAGACACAACAGATGGCGTTATTAAAATAAAAAAAAATCAAGCAAAGCTCGGTCATCATCTAGTACTTAGTTATCGGAGCCTTATCTCTGGCCTGCTTCAATAAATTAATAATGTCGCATAATCGGAGACTTAAAAATCAATCACGGAGCGATTAATTAAAATGTATCGAGAGAATGCATCGTAAATTGCCGTACAAGGCCGCTAATCGGGACGGCTAATCGATAATTTATTAACGATTACCCGATTAATCGATTCCAAAATGGCAATTAAATATTTTTTCAAATAGCATTACCTATTTCTGCTGTGAAATTAGGTTTTTACGCCGCGATTTCGCTCTTCGTTAATTTTTCTATTGATTTTTTTTTGGTTATTTGACGCAAGAATTCTTGGTTGGTTGTCTGGTTACTCTCTTTTTATTGCTTAGATGGGTGGACGAGCTCACAGCCCACCTGGTGTAAGTGGTTATTGGAGCCCATAGACATCTACAACGTAAATGCGCCACCCACCTTGAGATATAAGTTCTAAAATGTCAAGTATAGTTACAGCGGCTGCCCCACCCTTCAAGCCGAAAGGTATTACTGCTTCACGGCAGAAATAGGCAGGGCGGCGGTAACTACCTGTGCGGACTTACAAGAGGTCCTACCACCAGTAATTACGCAAATTAGAATTTTTTGCGTGTTTGATTTTTATTACACGATGTTATTCCTTCACCGTGGAAGTCAATCGTGACCATTTGTTAAATACGTATTTCATGAGAAAAATTGGTACCCGCCTGAGATTCGAACATCGCTAGATATTAATGCACCAGACGTCTTATCTTTTAGGTCACGACGACTTCTTAAAGTAACTTCTCTGTACTAACATCTGTGTATATTTGTGCAGACAAAATGATTATTTTAAGTTCGATAAATAAAGTATTTCATTCGGTTTTACGTAAATGTCAAACACAATTATTTAATTTCGCGTCTCCTATATTTATTTTATTATTTATTACCAAGCTCTCGTAATACTTTAGAAATGATTTTTGTACTAAAAAAGACGCCAGTTACCGCATTATATAAATGTCGTTGTCGTATAATGAAAATAAGATAAATGCAATTTTAATTATTTCTCTAAAACTAGAGGTCCCGCAGTAGTCGAAATTCGACTATAATTAATTGGAATTGTAAGTTTGTACACTATTATGATTCTATTTTATACTTCTATAATCACAAATTTCGCCAAGACTACACTATAAAAAATATTAACAAAGATAAACAATATTTAATCTATTCTCAATTTGACAACAGACGTCAAGAACAAAAGTTTGACAATAAATAGCATGCATGCGTGTGTGCGT